ATTATTCAAAATGAGTCTGACATCAGTGCACTTAACAGTAAACTTCACTTATTATAAATAACTCAACCACAAATAGAACAAAATATATATAACGAATTAAGAAATTAAACAAGGTAACTGTGTAGGGCAAGCAAGCTACTGCCAAACCAACAGAGGCATGTTTATGCAGGAAGCACAGCTTTTCCAAATGTAAACATCTAAAATTAATAAATAATAATAATTAATCATATTTTTTTTCACAAACTCTGTGCATGTTGTGTATTCCAATGAACATGTAGAACATTTGTATTTAAATCGTCTTTTTACAGTGTAATATTCACAGACACAGTCTATATATATATACAGTGGTGTGAAAAAGTGTTGGCCCCCTTCCTGATTTCTTATTTTTTTGCATGTTTGTCACTTTAATGTTTCAGATCATCAAACAAATTTAAATATTAGTCAAAGATAACACAAGTAAACACACCATGGTTTTTAAATGAAGGTTTTTATTATTAAGGGAAGACAAAATCCAAAACTACATGGCCCTGTGTGAAGAAGTGTTTGCCCCCCTGTTAAAACTGTGGTTTATCACACCGGAGTTCCATTTCTCTAGCCACAACTGTTCGCAATCAAGAAATTTCTTAAATAGGACCTGCCTGACAAAGTGAAGTAGACCAAAAGATCCTCAAAAGCTAGACATCATGCCGAGATCCAAAGAAATTCAGAAACAAATGAGAAAGAAAGTAATTGAGATCTATCAGTCTGGAAAAGGTTTTAAAGCCATTTCTAAAGCTTTGAGACTCCAGCGAACCACAGTGAGTGCCATTATTCACAAATGGCAAAAACATGGAACAGCGGAGAACCTTCCCAGCAGTGGCCGGCCGACCAAAATTACCCCAAGAGCACAGTAACGACTCATCCAAGAGGTCACAAAAGACCCCACAACAACACCCAAACAACTGCAGGCCTCACTTGCCTCAGTTAAGGTCAGTGCTCATGATGCCACCATAAGAAAGAGACTGGGCAAAAATGGTCTGCATGGCAGAGTTCCAAGAATGACCATGGTGTTGGTGTGCTTGACTGGCCAGCAAACTCACCAGACCTGAACCCCATAGAGAATCTATGGGGTTTTGTCAAGAGGAAAATGAGAAACACGAGACCAAACAATGCAGATGAGCTGAAGGCCATTGTCAAAGAAACCTGGCCTTCCATACCACCTCAGCAGTGCAACAAACGGATCACCTCCATGCCACGCCGCATTGAGGCAGTAATTAAAGCAAAAGGAGCCCCTACCAAGTATTGAGTACATGTACAGTAAATGAACATACTTTCCAGAAGGCCAACAATTCACTAAAACTGTTTTTTTATATATATATATATATATATATATATATATATGCGCGTGTACTAACCTGTTTTTTTTTTTATTCATAAAAAATAAGAAATTCCATGAAATTCCGCGTTATACAGTAAATTCCATTTTTATGACTGGATTCCACAATTCCATCCATGTTTTCTGCATCGCGGAAATCATAGGGCCCTACTAATGTTGCAAACGAATATGATAAGCTCATTGTAAGAGTAAAATACGGGGACATTGTTGTTTATTTACTTAGCATTGAAAGTCTCTCCAACTAGGTGACAACGTAGCGTTAAATCACCATTCAACAGACTCAAGCCACCGCCACACTGCCGTCTATTGGACTGCAGAAAGATACTAACTTTTCAATCTGCTACGTTACTGACTGTACTGACAAACTATGCTGACACCATGTCTGCACCTCAACAGGACGCGACAAAGCGACCGGTGTAAATCATTCGAACTTTGTGTCAGCACATCATAAATAGAACGAGGCATCAGTTTACTGCATCCAGTGTAGACAACATCACTGATTATAATGGGTTCTATTCTACACCGGACACAAGCGGCGCGACAAAATACAATAGAATTCTATTGTATAAACCGGTATAAACACCAGAATTGGCTGAGTGGCCGCGATCAGCTCCGGTGGCCGTAACACAGGCTTTAATGCGCCGCAAACGCATGCCGTGATGAGCAGATCAGCTCTAGTCTCTAACGTCACTGAATCTGCTGTTAAACATGAACCATCCATTCATCATATCATCATGCAAAACTAAGAATTAGAATCATTGTAATGTGATTATCAAATATAGGTGCGGGTGGGTGGCGGGTGGATAATTTGAAGCAGCGGACTCGGGTGAAGTTTGAGCTCATCCGCGCATCTCTACACTACACTGACCTGATATATCGGCGACAGGCTCATATTGGCCGATAATATCGGCTAAACGATATATCGGTCGGGCTCTACAACCCATCACTCTAAAATTTAATTTTCCAAAATTTAATTTGTCCTGTCCTGTAGAGTTTAGCTCCAACCCTAATCAAACACACCTGAACAAGCTAATCAAGGTCTTCAGAATTACTAGGGCTACAGGCAGGTGAGGTTTTTTTCAGGGCTGGAGCTAAACTCTGCAGGACATCGGCACTCCAGGACTGACATTGCCTACCCCTGCTGTAGTCTGTCATCAACAGAATGTTCACCCTGGGTGTGAATAGTTCCTTTGAAATGCACTGTTTCTGTTCAAAATTTAGTTTGTGGTGAAGTCAGGGCTATTGAACTCCAGTCCTGAGGGCCACTGTCCTGTCGGGTTTTGCTCCAACCCTAATCAAACACACCTGAAAAAGCTAATCAAAGTCTTCAGGATTAGCTGCACATAAGAGGCAGCTGTGTTTGATTAGTGTTGGAACTAAACACTGCAGGAAATTACAAAGTATGCAAGCATTTCTAGGTATGAAAGCATTTTACAAATAAGCGTTGCTTTTCCATCAATACCACTAGGGGTGCTACAGTGCTAACAATCTTTTGCTGTCAATTTCCTCATTCGAGTCAATTATTGTCAGGGTGGAACAACTGATCGAAAAGAAACATGCTGAGCAAGTTGAAAGTTGCTAATTACCTGAAAAATAAACATTTTGTAAATTTATCGTCCCTTTTGTACGGAGATTTTTTTTTACTGCCACGTCAAAACAACAGCACCCGTTAAGTTTTCAACAGAATCACACACTCACAATGTGTTTTTTGCCAAACATTCACGTCTACATAAAGTATGTTTCTTGCCTTAAAACGAACATGACTCTACCGTGTTTGCAAATGTAGTTCAGAAACAACTTATTTAATAGAATGTTATGATTTTGCAATAAAGTGCTTTAACACATACATCGAACGTACATGTACCTACTGGAATCCACAAGTCGCAGAGACATCTATTTGTTATGAATGAATGTTAGCATTGAAAATATATCAATGTAATATTTTGAGTATTTATCATCTGTAACATCTAGAAAATGTAGTCTAGTTTTAAGAAAATAATTAGATGTTAAGAGCCGCTCACACTCGATGCACTCCTGCATTATAAAAATTGGGAGTGCAACACAAGGCGAGTTGAAAGGATTTTTATATGCGATTTATCAGAGGTAGCGACAGATTTTTCGTATAGTGACACACATCTGAGTGACATTTTCAGAAAAGAATAAATGTTGGATGGTGACGTGGTTCTATCTATTGTTGATTGGATGAATGCAGGTGTGAATCCGAGTTTGCAGTCAATCGTAAGAAAGGGGCGGGGATTAGGCGCACTAAACGATTTGAAGTTCAACATAAGTCACGAGAAGTCTATCATTTCATTGGAAGAAAATTAAATTAAATGGTCCTTGATGAATTGTTCACAATAAGATTAATTGCATTTAGAAAATAGATAATTTCATAAATTTCAGGTAAATTTATGTGAAATTTCATTTAATGCCGATCACTAATGTAAAGAGTCCATATTTCACCCAACCCCCAAATTAATGAGATCAGTCCTTTGTCTTAAAAATGACACTGACCCGCTTGCTGCTTTTCTAAACATCTAGCACCTTGCTGTGCAAATGATGCGAAATATTTCACAAAGGCCAACATAGCAAACGTTTACAGTGACAATATAAAATCATACAGATGGAACACAATAACACACACTGTGTGAATAGTCTCTTAAAAAGACATGAAAGAGCACTTTTCATGCCATTTACAAATTTAGAGAAGTCAAATCTAGAGAAGTTGGCGTTTTTCAAAAATGTGCGGACGATTATTCTGAATAAGTAGAACGCATACTTTTAGCATGTTCTTTAATAAACGTTGTGTAACATTGTTATAACTGGATGCTAATTCCATCTAAAAACAAATTATTGTAAATTTGTAGTTCATATACAAAACTGATTTTATTTAGTTGAAAAGTAATTTGCCTAAATCGCAACAAGTCCAGCAAATTCGAACAATTTTACGCAATCAAACCGAAAAATAGGCATGTCTTTTGTTTCATTTTTTAATTTGTAATGAAATCTGTACTTTTCACCTATGTTTGTATTTAAATTCACAACAAATACATGAATACAGACACGTCTTTCTAGTAGCTAGATCGCGCGCAGCGCCCCTAAACTGCGATACCGCACGAGGTTTGACGTAACCAAGCGCATACGAAAATACAGATCCGGTCTTTACACGCTATTTTAATCTTCCTTAGCAACCAAAGCGTTAAAACAGATCGAATGATATGCAAGATGCGAAGTGATACGGTGAAATCAGAGGTTTGTAGCAGTAAACGTCAATAATTTCGAACTATATTCAATAACATTTCAAATGGCGATGCAACACAATACAATAGAGGAACGTTCAGCTGGCGAAAAGGAGAGATAAACATTCGTCTGATACTTAGCGGTTGAACACTACCTCGCAACTGGACCGGATAAAAACGTTTCAAAAACAACAGACGTTTTCAGCCGCACTTTGGGTGTCTAACGTTACTTGAGAAAAAAACTAATACGCAAAAAGCCAGGCTAAAATGTAGTTGAAGCCATTTACGGAGACTTTATGGCGAACCTGCTTTAAGTAAATGTCATACAGCTGTAACACCGCGCTTCCTCCTCCAAATAAATACATAATTTTTAAATAATGTCTTACCTTTTACCGAGTCCCTTCTGAGAGCATTGAAATGAGAGCAGCCGAGCTCCCTGCCATGAAACAAAAATGGCTCTCAAAGCTTCAGAGGGCGAGAGTTTCGGAGTGGCTGACTGGAAGAAGGGGCGGAGCTATCGCCAAAATAGCTAGCTAAGGTTAAAAATTGTTTATATTAAGTGCAAAAGAATTTCATGTTGTTGTGGACGATGGTCCAGGAATATGTATGTTATAGAGAAGGAAAAACGGACCATTCAATTATTAAACATTTAATGTATAATATTAATAGTAATACAGTCAAGAATCGTCATAAATAACTTGGTATACATATAACAAATATATATGTATATATATGTTTAATAAAAAAATATCACAAAAGGGTGATTACATTCCTACAGGATTTGCAGTTTAGCAGTGGGGGATGGGCGATCAAGAGCCCAACCCCCAAAAATGGGATTGAAGAACATGCTCAACAATAATGATGGGAATGTTGGAATGTACAACTTTGTACTAGAAATATAAAGGAACACCACTTGACGTTGAACTTCCAAACTCGTTTTTCACAGATTTCACAGAGGTGTGGCTGTATGACATCATGTTAGCATGCATCACAGAGAGGTGATGACAATTCACTTTTAAGGAAATAAAATGCATCAAACTTTCCACAATATACAATAATAAAACCTCTTTAACCAACATTTGTAGAGACTTACGAGTAAAACATGACAAACACTACTGATACTGTATTTTTCTATGTTAAAACTGCATGCATAAATAGATTATTTAAACAAGTTTCCCTATTTATCATTGATCGGACAAACACCCCTCACCCCAAACTTACACCATTGGTTGAGATATTATTGCTGTGCAACACCACTCAAACAAACAGACTGAAATTTCAAGTGGCACAGAAATACACACTGCAGCTTTAAGTGCCATATTCACAAAAAGAGAAGCACGTTTATAGATTTTCATAAATTTAAGACTATGACTAACATATTAAAAATCCATAATACATATATAAGATATCCTGTTTTCAGCATCTTGAATAAGATTTTAATATCAATCTCAACACAAAAGATGCTAAAAGCCACTCCCATCAAAACCCACCAACCCCCCAAAAAGATGTCAAGTCAAGTCGCCTTTATTTATATAGCGCTTTTAACAATACAGATTGTGTCAAAGCAACTGTACAGCATTAATTAGGAAAATAGTGTGTCAATAATGCAAAGTGACAATAGTACACACTCACATTTTTTAGTTAAAGGCAGTTCATACTGCTGTGCTGTTGGGAAATGTCAACACCTGTTGATGCTTTATTTTTCGTTAAATTAGCCACTGTATTGAATAAATACTTGAGGTTATCTTTATTTTCTTCTAAAAAAGACGAAAAGTAATCAGATCTAGCAGTTTTTAATGCTTTTCTGTAGGATATGTTACTTTCCCGCCAAGCAATACGAAATACCTCTAGTTTTGTTTTCCTCGAGCTGCGCTCCATTTTCCGGGCTGCTCTCTTTAGGGTGCGAGTGTGCTCTTTATACCACGGTGTCAGACTGTTTTCCTTAATCTTCCTTAAGCGTGAAGGAGCAACTGTATCTAAAATGCTAGAAAAGAGAGAGTCCATAGTTTCTGTTACATCATCAAGTTGTTCTGAGGTTTTGGATATGTTAAGGAATTGGGATAAATCAGGAAGATTACTTACAAAGCAGTCTTTTGTGGTAGAAGTGATGGTTCTACCATACTTGTAACAAGGAGTAGAATTTACAGTTTTTGCTATATGAAGTTTGCACAAGACTAAATAATGATCTGAGATATCATCGCTTGGCTGCAAAATTTCAACCACATCAATTCCATGTGACAGTATTAAATCTAGAGTATGATTTTGACAATGAGTAGGTCCTGACACGTGTTGTCTAACCCCAATAGAGTTCAGAATGTCTATGAATGCTGATCCCAATGCATCTTTTTCATTATCAACAGGCACTGTAAAAAATGAGCTCTTGTTTCGATGATTTTTTAAAAGTTGACACAACTTGCAACTTCTGAATTTGTTCATTCAACTTAACATTTTAAGTTTTCACTGTCTCAACTAGCTTGTAAGTTGACTGAACTAGAGTATTTGTCCTCTCAACTTAAAATGTCCAATACCGATGTCACGTGCTCAACATCACTTATCGCGAGAACTCGTGAAGACCGTTGCAGACAGAGACGGTGGTCAGCCATCTTCGCAATCTTCTCCACAAAGTTGGACTGTAACTAACTGTAACTAATGGATTTAGAACGGCGGGAATTTTTTTAAATTAGCTTCTAAAAACTTGACAATGTTTTATAATCCCTAAAAGACGTCCGTCATATGCATTATACATCGATGAAAAATGAGGGGGGAAAACAAGATAATTGTTCAAACTGTCCCTTATCTTCACGTTAACGTTGTAAGCAAAACGCATGAGCATCTCCCTCAGAGTTCGTTTGGAGCGCGTGCATTTGATACGGCGTACATAACCTTGATTCAGGTTAAGTTTGAAGGTACAAACTCTTCTTTCAGTTTTCTGAAGTAGTTATTGAAGTGCCAACCGTACTGAGCCGTACTCTACCATGCAGTGGAAAAGCACCATTAGACTAGAGACAGTTATAAAGCAGTTACATTTTTGTCAGCCTTAGCACTAAATCAATCTAATAATTTATTTATTTATTTAAGAATTCCATGTCGATATACGGTCGTTAGTGTATTACATTACACATATAACATTACTGCCAGTCAAAAGTTTTTGAACAGTAAGATTGTTAATGTTTTTTAAAGAATTCTCTTCTGCTCGCAAAGCCTGCATTTATTTGGTCCAAAATACAGCAAAAGCAGCAAGTTAATATTGTGAAATATTTTTACTATTTAAAATAACTGCTTTCTATTTGAATATATTTTAAAATGTAATTTATTCCTGTGATCAAAGCAAAATTTTTATTAACATGTAAGTTTTCTAATTCTTTTGTCTTTCGTTATTTACAGAATTACACCTCAGAGCTTTCAGTTTCTGTGTCCAGA